TAACAAAATAAAAAAATATATATATAAAGAAAAGAAAAAGAGAATGCTCGTACATTTGTTAATAGTTTTCAGCAACTTTCAATAGTATATATATATTTAATAATATGCTCATCTCGCAGTATCAGATTTTCTAATGATATCAAACTGATTATTATTTTCACGATCAAATTGATAGATATAAAAGAGATCGTATACGTCAATTTGATAAAAATAATATTTCACCATTTATATATTATATATATATATATATATTTGCCATTAATTTCTCACATTTCTCTCGCGAGGGTGTAGCCAGATTCTAAAACAAATTGAGGCGCTTATTTTCGCAGCGAGGCGCAAAAGCCGCGCACCGCGGGGCTGCTTTGTTTTCTCGGCTTTGTAAACCGGCTGTTTCGCTAGCCGGTTGCTTCACCTCGTTACTGTCCTTTTTTCCCATTGCTGAAACAAGAAGCTGGCATCAGGAGGTCGTTATAACGCGAGGCGCGTCCACTTTTCCGCTTCCCCTGACCGTCGCGTCGCGCCGGCCCCTCGACGTCCGTCGGACGTGGTTCTTGCGTGCTGCAAATAAAGCTCTCCTGGAAACAAACAGGGTCGAGTTGGACTCGGTCGAACAAATTGACACCCCCACGCGCACGTACAGCGTGCGGACCACGGTGTCCTGTTTCCCAACTCGAGAATGTTGATTCACTTTAGTTTACTAGTTTGTTGACCGCGTGTTACTCGTAACCACTTTTTATTTGAAGAACCTTGTTTAAAAAGGATTTCTGTCGCGGGATGTATTCTGAAAAGCATTTCTCTCGCGATGTATGCTAAATAAAACGTTTCAAAAAAAAAAAAAAAACCTGTAGATTATGCATGTAAAATATGAGAGTATGTATTAAAATTACGTAAAGTAAACAATTATAGTTTAGTAAAATGCTGTCGAATATAAAGATTAACTTTTCTGAATCATATAATCATAAGCCTTTTTCGATTTTCAATTTTTTTATATTGTAATCTTTTCTCGCAGTGATAACAAATTAATAAATTTATCCTGCATTCTATGTTCTATCCTGTAATATACCTAATATAAATTCATTGATAAAATCATTTAATACTGTACAACGAAGAATCGGTTTAATTGTACATTCGTTAACTTCCGACTTTCATTCAGAATCACTGATTTCATCACAAGGAGCATAACCAGTGATCCGATGATCACCCTTCGGGAAAGCACTTCTAGGGACGATATCGATCGATAGTTTTGGGAGAGGACCGTCTCTCTCTCGCGCTGACTGACAGAGATATAATGTACGTTTATTAAGTGGCAGTCACGTGGCATGTAGTGATACAATGATATCAGTTTTGTACCAGGGCACGATTCGCCACGTGTCACTCGACACGAATCCAGCGCTTTCGCTTTATTACGACAACGGTATTCACACCCCTGCCGGTATCACTAGTCGATCGTAATCACGTTTGGCTTCTCTCAGTCACACAGAATCATAGTCGCGAGCGTAAATCTGACAATGAGTGCAACGCGTTTCAAGAAGAGTCGAATGCTACGCGAACTCTTTTAGAAAATCTGTAGAAAAAATTGCATCAAACATAGAAGTGTTATATAATTTTTGGAATTGTTTTATAATACCTTTTTTTGCAATTCTGATTTTTTATTTAACGCGCAACAAGATGTATAACAAGTTTGCGTGATTTGCAATTACCTAAACATCTACCGCTTCTGTATTCGAGACTGAATAGCTGTTAACAAAAAAATATCGCAAAATTTAATATATATAATTTATATATTTGTCTCTTGATGAATATGATATACTTCACTTTTTACGAAAATTAACTTTGTACAGAAAATTATTGACCGATTAAAAACTGTGTAATTAATTAATAATATATATTGATCTTTTATTTTAACATTAGTTCAACTAAATTTTATATTTAAAATCTTTTCACGTTTATTAAGTGAAATGTTGACATGCTATATAGACTTGTAATAATCTTCCCAAATTATATTTCTCTCTCTCTCTCTCTCTCTCTCTCTCTCGATTTTCTGTTTTAGTGAAGTGATGATTTTGATCCCAATTACATTTTTAATGCGATGCTAGTTGCAAATATGCGAAACATCATACAACGATTATTATATTTTTTTTTACTTATTGTTAGTGCATGAGCAGCAAGAACGCATTTATACGAGACAGAGAAGAGTTTCGCACGAATATTACATTTTAGTTCTAATATGGATTCTTGAAAGATTCTCGTCTCTAAATGCTTTTGAATTTTGATATCTTTTACATATATATGTATGTATGTTTGCTACTCGTATGTTTATAAATTAATATTTTTCTACATCGGTGTGTGTGAAATATACAATTATTATATATGTTGGTGATATACAATTATTGGATTATGTTTTCACGTAAAATAATACTACATTTTTTATTCCGTATTTCATTTTCGTGAATAGATCCCACGACCACCCGAATTGAGCCCGCATCTTGACATCCGCCGGTCTACCAACCATTTAGCAATAATTTACTCGTCGCACGGCCATGGAATAGCGTCGAAAAAGGCCTTGCGGAGTGAACGGTGTGGTCGTTGATACCGCAATGATGATCCGAGTCCCACGGGTATATTGTTGTCCAATGACATGTCCGTATTTACACATCGCACGTCGAAATTGCGCGCCGACGGCGTAAATGCACCCGTATGAGACTCAGAACTGGCGTGAATAATACCGATAAGTATGTTCCTTCTTTTCTACAGAATCTACCGACTGCCCTCGAAATGAGAGTGCTTTGATTCAATATCAAACAGCTAATCTCGTTTGGGATGATGAGATTAATTCTGATGTATTTGAGATATTATAAGAAGAGGGAAACATCTGTGTTATCTAGTGCTTAATCGTTTCTTTTACATTTTTTACACTTGGAAAGTATATCGACATACTATCCATTTATGATTATAAATAATAATAAGAGCTCAATTTCTATATAAATAAAAAAAATCTATCAGAATTTATAAACGTGAAAAAATTAAAATTCTAAATAAGAGCAAAATTTCGATTCGGATACTCTTTATATTTCTTTAAAAAAGAAAGAATGTAAAAAAAAAACTTAAATTATAAATGTGTACACGTATAAGAAATAAGTTTCATCGTGTATAATAAGACTGAAATCAATCTTTCTCTTTAAAATATTTTTTTACTTTATCCCGAAAAATCTTTTGTCATCTCAACAGTACCACCTTTTGCTTAAAGAGCATTTACCCCTTTGCGTCGATCAAAAAACTGCATTTATCTTCTCGCATAATCCCACCTTCTCGTGAAAAAAATTCCGGCATTCGAAATTTATCAATTGCTTTTTATAAGCCATGGAAGCTGCCAGCAGTCTTGTCGCTATTTCTTCCAGGACACCGCGAGAAAAGGTATTATTCAGGATGGTAGACATTGACAGATTCGTTGGGCGAGTGATATTAATGTGTAGAACCTGAAAAATCGACGGATTAGATCGTAAACCCTTGTGAATTCGACGCGGCTTCGTCCGTTTTTTTAAACCGAGTTTTATCCACAGTACTTACAGTTGTTTAGATTTTACACACACGCATTATATATATATATATAATGTGTGTGTATATTATATATATATCCACATCTTTTCTTTCTCTAAGGATATTACGTATACATCATAATATAAAAATTGTCATGATCCAAAATAGAAGTTATATTTTAACACGTAAGTGAGCCAGTAACTTTTTTATGCCATACTTTCAAAATTCTTAAAATATTTCATAATCTTTGCGACAGAAACGTGAAAACTTTTATTCTGAAAATAAAATATCTGAAATTGTGTTAAAATCCATTTAAAAGCACTTATTATTTGATTCATAATCGGAAAATTTCCAAATCTTTATCTATTAGCTTGTCGGTCATTCTTTTCATCTATGCACGAGAACATTATTTAAACGCGTGCTGTGAAGAGAGTTCGGCTGTCTCGCTAACTAAAGTGAGATTTTCAGGTCTGCTACTGAAATCGGTTGCATTGATGACCCAAATAACCCGGACCTACTTTACGGGTATGCCGAACGTTACCATTATTCTCCTACTGTCCTTAGCCCCTTTCTCTCCTTCTTTGCGTCTCATGCGGAATACCAAAGATCGGCTACTGAATTGTTCGATTTTGCCCTTTTGAACGGTGATTTACGGAATGTTTAAGTTTGTTAACGAGTGCAAATAAATTTCTCATTTTCAAATGGAGAGACACTCGGGCAAGATAGAAAAAAAAAAAAAAAAAAAAACGGAAAAAGCAAGAGTTTCATCCAAATAGTTTTGTCCAACCAGGTCAGCGTCGAGATCTGCCACAACAATCTTTCTGTTCATGATGTAGGTAGGCAACCGAAGGCAACATGGGGATTTCTTCGACAAATATTTTAGTGCCTTACAATAAATCAATTACTATTGAAATGTTGCGAATACTCTATTCTATTCTTTGACGAGAATCTTTTGACTGAAATTTTATCTTTGTTTGTCGTACTTGCGTAACATCTTGACTTTCCGCCGTCCCGAACAGTTAGCACACAAAATATTATTTATGTTACGTTTTTATTCAGTTTAAAATATTATGAATACACAAATTAAATAGAATCTCGACAACAGAGGGAATAAATGTCATGCTGGAATATTTTTGAACAAAATTGTTAGAAAAGAATGTATGCAATATACATATAACTAATTTGTTATTAATGTATGTAATATATAACTATAATACTATATAACACTATATAACTATATACATAACTATTTATTATATCCATATATATATAATAATTTATTATATATATACATATATAATAAATACAATTTAAAATATTTCTTATTAGATGTATGCTATATTTATTCTTTGTTTAGCAAATAAGAACTGCATATTAATAATAAGATAAAATCATACGTTAATAATTATTAAATGTGTTACTTTTAATCGAAATAGCCTCTTTGATCCATAATGGGAATCATCTTCTGAGCTAATATCACAGTATCTGGATTTTTAAATACGTCCATCTTTGTCTCTCCCTGCAACTTCTCTAACAAGTCCACGAAATCTTCAGTATCTTTTGCATCGGCCATCATTCTCAAATTAAGTATAACACCTGCAAACACAGCGTATATTCGTCTCTTATGCAGGGCTGCCTTTAATTTTTCCATTGTAGGTGCTTTCATAGCACAGCCTATTGAAATCATCGTATTTGTCAAGGTTTTCAAGTATGAATTCAATAAAAAATCATCGTTCTCGAATTTTAGTTCCATTTGCGGACAAATGTTCAAAAAATAGTGTAAATCAATAGCTGGAGATGAATAAACAGACATTTGATAGTCCACCTGCAAATATTTGTTTAGAAAATTAATTTCTATCTAAATATTCCGTGCAAATTAAAAATTTGATAAGTTGTAATAAAAAGCGAAACTTATTCTGCATATGTATATCTGAACAATTATTTAGTTTTGAATATGTTTTCAACAAAATAATTAAAACTTGTTTTTGATGAGAAAGAACATTACCATCAGAACATCGCTGAGTTTTCCATTGTCACTTTCTTTGAACATTATATTGTTAATCCAACAATCACCATGATTTAAAACACAGAATTCGTTAGGTTCGTATTTGTAAATGTCGGCGCATCTATCTCTAAATGTCTTCACCAGTTTATCTAATTTATTTGCGATATGTGCGTACTTCTGATCGGTCCAACCTCGAATCGCCTTACTTACATTCAACAGAGATACTTCCAACATTCGCATAAAACTCGCTGGACAATTCACAGACAGAATCCCGCCGTTTTTAAACGACTCGATCAACTTGGGTTCCTTCAAAGTTCACTATTTAAGTTTAAATTTTGATTATCTAAATACTTATAATATTGATATCTTATCATTTTGATTTCCTTATATATCGAGTAAACATATTACAATTATAATAATTTGACTCTAATAAAATTGCTGATAGATTTTAAAGGATAGGTTTTCGATTACGCAAAAAGATATACAAAATAATTTATGAAAATTATGTGTTATTCTATATTTTAAAATTTATACTTTTTTAATTTTGTTACAGATAACAGAGTAAAATTTTTTATAAACGAGAGCTCAAAGATTAGAAGAGTCTTTATGGGTGAGTAATTTGATTCTGTAAATGTTTCATGTTTTTCAAGTCTTAAGAGTCAAATTATTATATTTTATAATTAGATGCACTTTATTTCGCATATGTACATTTACCTTCTCGTGTAACGCCACGGAGCTCGCGTGTAGTTTGGCTAATTGCTCGATCACAAGAAGGCAATGTTCCATCGGCAGTCCTTTTTGTCGATCTTTCATAACGAATCCTCTTTCCGATAGATTCTCCATAACAAGAATTCTGAATTCTGGCGATCCGTACCACAATTTCGGTCCTAATTGCTTCTGCACGAGCTTCTCGATCTTTGGCAGAACTTCTTTCAGCATCGTTAATTCGCATATAAATAAACCCTGGTCGCGAACCATTGTCAACTGTATGCCGCTTATAGGTTCCGATTTCACGACGATATCAGCAATTTGTATCGATATTTTTTTATCAATTTTGGATAGAATAGTATATGAAATTCGTACTTTGAAAAAATCACTAAGAAAGTTAGTTCCCTTGATTAAATTGGAATTCTCTATATGAAGCACGTTAATCGTTTCATCACAAAATTCTTTCCGAAGTACCATTTTAAAGAACTGTTTGATGATCGTGTCGGTCATTCCTTGTGATACATTCATTTTTATTGTTGAATAATAGTTCTGTGATAATATATTTTATATGAGATACTCTGTATCTTTAACAAAATGGATTATTATTGGAAAGAATTATATAAATTGTCATTTATAACTAATATAATTTTTGTATTATTTTAAAAAACCAAAAAGATATTTTCTTGTTCTGAATTCTACAATTATCTTTTGTAAAGTATTGTCACATATAATTAAAAATTATTCTATATATACATATATTAACGCACAGAAACGAATAAAGCAAGCTAATGATTAATTGAATTAAATTTCTTATATTATACAGTAAATAAGATAAGTAAATAATGAAAATGCTTAAAAAAAGAATTTGCATGCATACGTAATATTATGGAAATTTTTGAATAATTTTTCTTAACGTTTGAGAATTCAAAATTAAAAAGTATTATATATCTATTATTTATCATCTATAAATTATTTCAAGTATAACTATTGTCGCCAATGCTGTCTCAATTATTTCAAAAGCAAGACAATTGTGAATTTCAAATTGACTTAGTTTTATTAATTACATTATAGTAAAAGAGCCATGATTCCCGATTTGATAAAGTTAATACAAGTAATTTTTATTGTTACAGTTTTTTAATGATAAAGCATACTTACTAAATTTTATTCTTATTTAAGCAGTTCCACTGATCTAACCGAACTAATTCTTCGTTTCACAGGTTAAACATTTTACGTTAAACAGACGAGCATATAAAACTTTTATCAGAAGATATAACATGTTATGCGTTGCATATGCAATCATAAACTGTAACTGCAATCTCGTTGACAGCTACCTTGAACTAGTACTTTAGTCATTAAGTAGGATTGAATCATAGTCTTGAATAGTGCCGTATTATTCCGTATTTGCCATCGTAGGCAAATACAGATCATCTCGTATCGAGTTAAATTTCGTAGACAATTAAATCCAATTCTTTTGATCGGCAATGCAATATTAAAACAGAATTTTAAATCAAATAAGCCGAAAGGAAAATATTGTTTTCTCGAAGGAGAAACTATGGTCGGACCCAAACGGGAATGATTGTGCTTCGTAAATCATAAAGCTATCCGTTTTTTCAAAGGTCTTATATAAGCCGCAGCTCGGACTGCCACGATGGACTGTCGTATAACTTTTATAGAAGGCAAAAAAGTGGCTACTGTGTTGCTCGATTCGAGTCTTTTTATTGCACTTATGGCGATGCGCTTGCCTAGTTTTTCGAAAACGTGAACACTTTTACGGCCGTCGCGTGTGCGGTAAGCCAGGAACAGCTTCAGGTGCTACCACAACTTTATGAACGGAGATAGATTTTACCGCTAGTTTTGAAAATTTTACAAACATATACAACAAAACAGCTGGTAATAAATCATCCACCTTCGCTTTTTTTTCTTCCTTTTACGAAGATATTTTCTGTCCTAGCGTTTCTGGTGGGTTTTACGCTATTCTTACGCAATCACCGTTCGTGGTTTTCAATAGAGGTCTATAATGTAAACGGGATTTTCATTTTTTTGTTAGCGTTGTTTTTTTACGAGATGGAAGGTTGAAAAGTTTGTAAGTTGATCTATTGATTGTCGAATTCTTCCGATCGCAGTTTTGTGCAAGGATGGAATTTATGCGTAGAAATTAGATTTGCATTTCTAATAACAATTATTTTAAAAGCATATATAAGATATCAAATCTACGTCATCGAAAAGTAACATGTTATATGCGCTATCAAATTATATTATTATATCATGAACTTGTACGAATCTTGACAATCACACGATTATACAATGTCTAATAGTGCGCATCGGCATCGCACGCTACTGGGCACATATAAATACATATATGAATCATGTATTAAGTTTCAGATTTATCTCTCTCTATTGAAGTTGTTCACTCTATGACACTATCATCGCGATAAATCAAATGTAATATATATATTATGCATTAGATATATTATAGAACAATCTAAAAATTATTGTATCAATTTCATAAGAATTACAATTGTACAAATCAAATGTCACATATATTTTCTTTGCAATTTTCCACAAAAAATAAATTAAAAAAAAATTACTTATCAAGCTCTTTATTTTTTATATTTACAAATCTTTACATATGAAATTTTCAATTACTCTTAAAAATTATATCTGCCTAGCCTGTTTGCACGATGGCATTTCTCCTGATGTGATTTACATAAATTAAGAGGTATAGATATCTGACATTTTATCTCTAACAAACGATGGAAAAAGATAGAGAAAAAAATAACTTTCAAAGCCATAAGCAAAACGCGTGGCTCATCAGACTTGAAGGCATCAAAATGGATCTGATGGTACGTGTTTAACTCAGTTCTAAAAAGGAACCATAATTTTAAAGGCTCAGCAGGGCCGTAAAAGCGCACTGGGTATAACAAAAGTTACCTAGTAAATAAAGGCGCGACCTATCGGCAGGGAGTGATGTCGTGCGCACGGCATGGCACGGCACGAAATCGGTGTCGTGTGCTCATCCCCTTCTCGAGAAAATTTTCAAATTGGTATATATTCGGAGAGAAAGTTTAAACGATATACACTTCGTTGATTATCTGTTACGGACCACCCATTCAGTTTCCATATAACAAAGAAAAAGAAGAGAAAGAGAAAGAGAGAGAGAGAAAGTCATGTTAAAATATTTTATTTTTACCCTATCAAATGTGCAAAAATAATTTTAATGTATTGTTAAATTACAAATAATATATAAAATGTAGCATAGAATATTTTTCTTAATTTTCTTTTAACTTATATAGTAACGCTAAAATGTATATTGCAAAAAAAGGAATTTTAAATATGCTTACAATGTGTATTATTATATATAATTATACATAATCGTTATGATTATGTAATTATGTTTTTTATACACGCAATAAGAGAATCACTCATTTTTGTTTTATTATTATGATGTATTGTGCTAGAGAAACCAAGAGATTGATTGCGTGCTCTGTCTTGACGCATAATTTTGTCATATACACGTAAATAACGATTATCTGAGTAACAATTATTTTCATACGTCATGCAAAGATGCGATAATTATTAATTATTGCGATTATTTCATGTTTTGATATTAAGTTTCGCGCGAGAGACCTCGCGGATGCTCGATTGGCTTGTGTTTTAATCAAGTTAAGAATTTATATAAAACACTCTGTATACGTCACACGCTGAACGGATGATCGGCAAAGGGCGGATGTGACATAAAACGGTTATATAAAACAGATGTTATAGGAACGAAAGAAGCCCCTTGGCACCCCTACGCTGAGCTCTCGCGAGCACAGCGAAGCCTCTGCGAGAAATCTTTACATATGCATGGACCATTAGCGATACCGTATAAAATCGACGAGTTAGACAATAACATGAGTGTGGGGGAAGCAGGGAGGGGAAAGGAGGAAGGCTTCTTTTCTTGAGCCACGTCATAACATGAGTGTCCGATATTATCACATTACAAGTACATAGTTCATATGATTATGCCCAAATAAAATTTAGATTAAAACTTTATCAGAAAAGATCGTTATTAATTTGAATCGCAAATCATAATGACGGCTGTATATACTATACATATTTATGTATTTTTTGTATTATGGAATTGCATCCTCTATCTCTCTTTTATTAATCTTTATATAAAAAAAAAAGAAAATAAATAAAAATCATTTTTCCTCTCCTTCGAAATAACGATGTATATGTTTTTCTTTTACATGATAAAATGTTTGACGATTTAATGTATTAATATGTGTGCAAAGAATTAATTACCATCTTACTGCAAATATTTCTGACCTATAGAGTTCATCAATTATGGTCAGTACAGACAGAGAAATACGATACGCGATAATAAATTAGAACGTCAAAGAAAACTTTCACCTCGAAACCATTGACTCTTTGGAAAATCAGGAAACGTCAATTTAGGTAAGACTCTAGTAAATATTGGAAAGAAATGCTCGACAGGACAACAGGACAACAAGATTTGTTCGACAAATAACTTATAAAGCTATTATATGGTTGAACCAAAGTATCGTAAATACAATTGCATTTCTTTTCTTTATCGAAAATGTGTATCTAATTTTGTTTTCTAACAAACAACCACTATTTTCAATAAGAGCCTTCGCCAAAACAATTTATTGCCTTATATCACAGGAAGTATTTTCCAATGATTGTTTATATAGGAGATTGTGATACAAACAATAAAAGTTATTCTCTGATTTATTATTCTTGTATTTAGTATTAGATTTTTTTAAGATTTAATAATTACTGTAAGAGCTATATTTCAAAAAGACTGCAGTCACAGAACCTCGCATAATAAATTTCTTATAATGATAATATTGATTTACATTTTATTGAAGGATTTAAATTTGCGATATTGATATTGCAAAAATCTGAATTATGATTACCGGTTTATCATTTAGTGGCAGGTTGTAAGAAAAGAGTCTTTTATTCGTTCTTTCTGAAAACTTGTTTCTATTGTGTTACGAAACAGTAAGAATACAGCAGGGAAACAGCAGGGTTTAATGCCCTTGCCCTCTCATTCGTTGGTAAAATTTCGTAGAGTATTTATATCTGGCATTAATTTCTCTTACTGTCCGGATCGAACTGCTGTGATATTAATGTCTCAAATAAGTGCGGGACTGTATCTTTTAAAATCTGTATCGGGAGAATAATTTTTGATACAAAAATTATATAATTGTGTTATTTTATATACACATATATAAACAGGAATCTATTAACATTAACAAATATCTCAATATTCATTAACTATTTTTTATGATGATAAAGACTAAGTTTTTAGCTAAAGACTAAACTAGAAAACAGAAAGAGTGCATAAATCAGATGCAAAATTAATCTCTAAAGTTTCATTTCTCTACAAGATATTAAATATTTACCTTTTTAGAAAAGCTATTAATTCTAAATGCTTTGATATCTCTTTTTTGAAAAATTGTATTCATATAAATAAAAAAGTTTATAGAGAAATGAAAATATATTACTGAATACCCTGTATCGCTCTTATTCTTCCGATAAATTTTGCCGCACTTCCGCTTGTCCTATTTTATTTTACGCTTACGATTGCAGATCAACTGACGTGTCGGCGAATCGTGGCTCCACACTGCGAGACTGTCAATTAGGAATCCGTCGGACGTTCCCGATATCTGCTGAATCGTCATTTCTCTCTGCGGCTGTTTGCAAAATGTCAAAGCTGATAGTCGCGCGCAATCTCGAAACCCTTGATACTTATATGTTTTCTTGTACGAGCACTGTTTAATAGATAAATATAAAAAATAAATGCAAATATAAATGTCTCCCTCTCTTCATTTTTTTAAAAATGCTAGATAAAGATAACAAAGTTAAAAAAAAACATTTTACTATTTATAATTTCCCATTACCTTACATCATTTATAATTTTACATAATCTTGTATTGATTTTTGATTGCGAGTCGACTAAGAGCGCAGATTGAATAAAAAGATATTACGCAAATCTATTTTGTCACGGGTAGCGATGATATTATTTAACAAACAAGCCGGATGGTGGACTTACGAGAGTACTATTACCGGTAATCCCCGCATCGTCTTTAGCACGGCCGCACGCGGTGCGAGCCTATTCACTGGTAATTAAGAGATTAGAGCCTGTTGCCTGACACTCTGCCTCTGTGTGTTTCTCGTTCCTCTTCTCTCATTTCTTAGTCCTTACGACGACTACACATGCATACTTCTTATCCCGATCGCGTTACAAAGCGAACACGAAACACCTTGCGCAAACAAATTTTTCGTATAGTTCTTACAAGTTCTTTTTGTTGCTCATAAAAATA